ATTTCCCAGAATCGTCTAATCCATCTTAAGTAATAAAATATGCTATATTCACAAAGCAGAGCTATAAATAGTTTTTTGCAGCTGTTTAACCTCTACTGTTTGCAATATTGCTGCACTGAATTTCCAGTTTAGTATGCACTAAAAACATGGACACAAACAAATGGCTGCTTGTAGCATCTTGTAAGCCTAAACTCCTAAACTGTTTAAGGTGCAGGTTCTCATCAGTCTTTGTTGATGACAAGGGATTTTCTAAATAGGAGCCCAACATGGACATAACCTTATTTAAACACCTTTAAATATTGACAGTGATCATTTTCAAGTATTATTTTTGTATAAGGTATTGGTATGCCTGCTCATACTGCCTTATTCATTGAAAAAAGTCTTCAGTCACTTTTATACATCCACATTTTTAGGTTTTAAAATACAAGAAGATCAAATTAATTTCAGAAACAGAAAAATATAATTTTTCTTTTACTGCTGACAGATTTTTTTTTCTTTTCTTTAATAAGACACATAAAAAAAACATATTAAACCATGACTTTAATGGTTGCAGGGGCCTGGTGCCCATCTCCAGCAATGAACGGGAAAGAGGTACAACTTGGACTGGTCACCAGTCCATCATCATTATTATGCATTATTATTTATAATATATTGCTGTTCGCTGATGATAATCGCAAAACAAGTAGTGCAAACAGTAAAAGTAATAATCACAATGCAAGACTTTGGGGTTGTTTATTATTTCTTATCACAGAGGTTATTTATTTCCTCCTTTTTAACAATAAACAGTAAAATATTTGCACCTTCCTTATTAAAGTGTGTCAGTGAAGAAAAATTTCCCCCACAAAGCAATTTATTTTACAGACCTGACTTTGTGTTTCCTTCCAAGGCAGTGAGGTTGCACCAACTTAGGTTCACACTCATTCAGTACGTGCATGTATCTTGGAATTTGCTCTTCAATGCGTAATGTCTGACATAGCAATCACGTTTGTTATAGATACATAATTAGTTTGAAAATAATATATATTTTTACATAATAAGCATATTTTATATTTGCTCTGCCTCTAAAACAGATCCAATGTACTAGGCTGCCATATAGTTTCTGTTGGTGATCACTCCCCAGAGTAGAGAATGCAAGTGAATAAAACAAAAGCACAAACGCTTTTAGCTAGTAACAGCATGCAATTTTATATCAGTATCCTGATGCTGCTGTCCATCTGGATGCAGTCATGCTGTATAGGTTCCTGCATCAGCTGTGCCTCAGTAACAAGGCAGCGCAGCACAGATAGGGATCTCCCGTGGGTTTAGGTTCCAGCTGGAACAGCCATACTAGTCCAACGTGTTCCTATTATTGTTTGTGACAGAGTCAAGAAGGACATGAAAAAAGAAGAAAAAAAGAAAAAGAAAACAAATGCATGTGCAAAGCTTGTGCATTGGGTTCTTCTTTGAGTGTCCCCATTGTAATTATGGGCATGGGTGGCCAGCAGTGACAGCTCATCTGTTAGCCAGCCAGCAGGAGTGTACAGCACCTGGTGAGCCATGCGCAAGAATGATGAGCCACAAACACACAAAATCCTAATATATGCATATTTTTAAATGAAACAAAAGAATGGAGTATTGGCACACGTGTGTAGTTGTTGCTGATTATTAACACAAACTTATCACTTATTTTATGTCATCTACTTGCAAATTAATTGAGATGCACAGGTTGAACCAATGTCGTTATCATCTTCATTAGCCTCATTTTGTCATATGTTTGCAGCTCAAGCATTAGCCGTATGTTTTAAATTAATTATAGTGGATGAAACAATACAGATCAGATCTTTAACTCCCTGTTTTTAAATTTTTTTCAACAGAGCAGTAACACTGTCTGCAAAACAAATGCACTTACCTAATGGTAAAAGGTGCAAGTAAAATGTTGCTGAACTATATTGTTGATTGTGACCTTAATAACTGGGATAGCAGTGTGAAATTATTAGTTTAAATGTTTTCAATCTTTTCTTTGGTCTTGTCGGTATGTGTGACTTTTTGTGTATGTTATTACCATAACCTTGTGCACAATGACAAGGAAATTAAACATTTTTTTGAATAAAAGCACAACCTTCTGCAAAACAGAGAACATGCAATACCTATTACTTGCTTTATTTTTTCTAATTTGGCTGAATTTTCTGCACTTCCTCATAAAATGACTGGTCAGACCTATTTTTACACTGAATAGTACAGAGCACATTTTTTGTCAATTCAATCGTCTCTCCTTTTGTGACACCAAGGGATCCAATCATTTGTGCTTCCCCTTTGACAAAACCCCTCCAATCAGGAATGACTAATGACTGAATAGTTTGGCATGCAGTGATCCCAGCTTTCTAATTAGTCTTTCATTAACTTGTCCAACCTTGGGAACTGCAGGGTGCATAGTCAACATGCACACACTTTGCAGCTCCAGACTAAATATCGGACCTCTACTCTAAAGTCAAAGACCTCAAATAAAGGTGGTTGTGTGCTCTTTCTACTCTATAGACATAATTTGACTGGGCTTCTCTAACATAGGAATATGGTTTTTATTCAAGTCAGTCTGTTGTAGCTCTGAATGTATGCTGTAGATCCTACACATTTCTCCTGGAAGACAAACTTCTCTTTCAGTCTCAAGTCTTTTGGAACTTCTGGGATGGTGCTGGATTTACAGTACCTCAAATCAACTTTGACCAGCTATCTTGTCCAGACAGGGAGATGCTGTGAAACTGGTGGGATTAATCATGTTTTTCATGTCGACCAAAATGTTCAATTTTGATCTTCTCTGAACAAAGCAATTTCTTCCTCATGTTTGCTGATTCCACTACATATCTTTTGGCAGGTTGCAATAGCGATTTCTTACACTTTTGAAAACTGTCCTCATCAACTTCACCAGACTTGACAACTACATGCTGCTTTATTTTTGTCCATTACATAAAATCCATGTAAAATGCATTGAGGTCTGCGATTATAATGTGATCGAAGATTAAGTTAAAAGTGTGTTATATTTCTCCAGTATTTTTCTTTTTACTTTTGCAACCCATTATTAAAACACCTCAGGAATACAACATGAATTGAGTGCCAGTGTGAATCAATACAATGTGAATTGAGCGTTTCAAAATGTGTAAAATCAAAAATGTCCCTTATATGTCTTTTAGACTTTTTGATTTGACTACACAACACTTTTTTGCACACCAGTGGAAAAGGTAAGTTCATGCTGGCACAGAGTACACTTTGAGAAAAAGAGAGGGAATCACCTCTCTGTTCTGCCTGATTCACTTTGGACTCCTAAGAATTCTCAGCCAACAGTATTTGTTTGGATACAGACAGAATGTCAGTGTTCTACGCCCACATTTCTGCTCTCTTTTTTGTGTGTGTTTTGGTTTGGTTGATGTATGTCAAAGTCCATTCAATGTGTTCCTGATCGATGGAATAAAAGAACTTGCCTGAGTCTTGTGCTGAATACAATGCAATTTAACATGCTGCTTCAGGGACATGGAGAATACAGGAACCTGGGAAAATATACATGACATGGATGAGCAAGATCACTTAGCTTGGAGTATTAACAGCATTAAAAACACCATAGCGTAGAGATAACTGACATCATACTGTGTGTACGCATAATCTCACACACTGATCTTGCAAAACATGAAGCCATGCTTCATCCCATATCACAGTTGGTGGCCGCTTTTCAAACAGAGTGCCATATAACTATGATAGAAATTCCCAGGGAGCTGCTGTTGTTTGGCGTCCTAGCACCCATGGTGTGCCCTGTCTCGGCATATTATATATTTTTTTTGTTTTTTTTCTTTTCGGCAGCGAGTCCGACCCTTTATAAAAAGGCTTGAAGCTTTCTTTTATTTCCTATTAAGGTTGAAAGATGTGGAGAATATATCTACAGATGGCAAGCAAACCCCCACCAAGACAACCAGCAAAAAGAAAAATGTCCTGAATACAATTTCTAACATTTATTCAAAATTCCCATCATGAACTATTAATGGGTGTGCTGTATATGTATATAAGCACCAGTCAGGAGCCTCTTTGATGTGGCCCCAGGTGTCAAGCAGTGTTGGGAATGAGGCTTTTAGTTATATATATATTTTTTTCCCCCTCGAAATATCATTGCACTGTGTGGAGGACGATGGTGTGCAGATACAGTGGCTGTTGTGTAAAATCACCATTATTCAGTCAAGTAATGATGAGCTGCCTGGTGTTTAATGCTTCTGTCTGACTGATGCCTGCACATGCAGCGGAGACAGGTGAAAGTGAAAGAGGTGACCTCTTCCTCTGCAGTCTAAAGAGCTGCCTGTGTGTCTGCTTTTATCCCCATTGTCACTGTGTGCGTTTGTGTGATGGGGGTCCCTGGCTCCTGGAAATCTTAATACTGTTTTCGCATTTTATTAATTCATTTTTTACAAACTGCAAATTAGCAGTTTCTTGCTAAATTTGTTACTTTTTTAAACTTGATTTACGTGTTTGATTTTATTCCGTATGCCCATGCAGATGAGGCCTCTGATTAAAACAATTCAACTTTTTCAATTTAGCTTAAGAGTTTTTATTTCCCAAGGGTTAAAAAAAGAAATGGTAATCAAATTTAAAATCACTAACCAAGTACAATTGCTCGATGTTATTATAGTTTAATTTGTAATTATAAAGTCTTTGCCTAATATAAAATCTATATGTAAGCTATCTTTAGTAAGCATTTTAGAAGTGCTGGACTTTTGTTTTATCTCTTTAGTGAGCAAACAAAACCCTTTTTTCTAATGCCCCCATAATACTGGTGTGTGATGAAACCAAGTTTCTGCAAATTGTGTCTTCAGTTACATATTATGGCATATGTTACTGAAACAATTAAGGTCATTTTTAAAGACTGCATTCTTTTGTCTTGTCTGGGTTTATATAGTCTTCTGCTGCATGTATAATTAACAAGAAAAATATGTTTTAGTCTGTTTTCAGTAATCTCACATTCGTCTTCCTGTTCTTATTCTTTGCAGATCACACGAGTCATTTTTTGTGTCTTCCTCGAGACTGACTTTACCATTTACAAGAAGAAAATGGCCATCATCTTTCAAGGTATGGCTGTTTACTTCCCAAGGACAACATTTTGCTTTGTTTTGCTCTTTTCACCTGTTTCTTGTCTTTGAGCAAAACAAATTCAGGAAATGATTACTTGTTACCATGGCAGCATTTAGAAAGTATGGGATATCTCTCACTATTAGTCACTATGACAATAAAGAGAATTTACAATCTATGTTGTTTATTCCCTGGAGAAAATGATTTAAAGACCTGTCAGACTTGAGTGACATCTTTAAATGTGAAAGCATGAAATGCCGAGAAAATCTGTGCGGAAAGTTGTCAAATCAAATGCCAAGTTCACCACGCATTGCTTTAATACGATTAGAATAGTTGACGTCTTTTTCAGTTTATCTGCAAACTGATCTGTTCTACAGTTTTAAATATCTTAGTGGGATGTAAATGACAGTTTCATTTCAGTGTGATAATGACTTGGATTTCTCCAGCAAGAGCTGAAAACATTCAGGGATACGTATAGGCAACATATCATCCCTGGTTACTGCTCCACAGTTCTACTTGTGGAATAAACAAACATCCATTATCTCCTACTCCCACTCTCTTTTCTGCCCCTCTCTCGATTCACTCTCCCCTTTTCATGCCATCATCTTTTTACGGGGACAGGGAGCAGTCACCAGCTCTGATGGGGGCTCCACAGAGGACTGAGCTGAATAGCTGGGAAGCTGAAAGAGGCTGGCTGGCTTCACCAGCCTAGCATTACTTCCCATTTACCTCACTTTTCCCTCTTCACCTCCCCAGCGGAATACCAGCTCTCAGGCCTTCATCTGGCTGTTCCCAGATGGAGAGTGTTTTGTTCTCCCTGCTCTCCTGTCATCTCCCCCGCCCCTCCTCTCAGGCTCTTGCCTGAAAGATTACATTCTGAGGAGAGACCTTAATTATGCCTGCCTGCCCTCCTGCACCCAGCACCCGTCTCATCATATTAGTGTTTTGAGATGAGAATCTGGAGCTGTTGTTCTCCAGTTATCTCTCTCGCCATTTAAAAGTATAGTCAGGGGATAAACGTTCCCCATCACTCTGTAACGGGGAACAGGGCTAAAATAAAATGACAGGCGTGGCACAAAGAGTGTGTGGCACAAAGAGAAATCCAAAGATATTTATTTATAGACTGGTAAAGCCATCGAAGAGAGCAATTACCATGCCCTGTGGAAGTATTAATGCTGCTCAAACTTTCTGGCACTTTGTCACATTGCAGCCTAAAATTTCATTGTATTTTTGAGTGCAGTGCATAACTATGAATGCAAAGTAAAGAACTGGTTTCAAACCTTTTTTTCTTTTTTGAGTGAAGAATAATTAGGATGAATTTCTGGTTAGCCCCCTGTGCCACAACTTTGCGAAGTCAGCTTTCAACGCAAGCTTAGTTCATTTAGAAGATAACATTTGTACTTTGTTCTTTGCAAAATAACACAAGGTCAGTCAGAATGGGTCGAGTTTTTCTAGATTCTTGACTGGAATTGAATCTGGACTTTCACTTGGTCATGCTGGCACATATTTATACTTTGATGTTTTGCTTTTAGGCTAAAAGTTATTTTAGTCACATTGGATCAATATTTCTTATGTTTTGCCTTCATAATATATTCTCAGAGTTATATTTTAGCAATGTTGTTCTTTTTGCCACAGTAACAATGAGATTCATGGAGCGCAAAGCTAATATTTAAATGGTTTACAAATTCTCCCACATGAGCTGAGGATCTCTGTAGCTCCTCCAGAATCAGTACACCAGTTTTTCCTGATTTAAATTTCTGTTTATGTTGATGTCCAGGTCTTTGTAGCTTTGTTGTTGTTCTGTAACTATGGCTCTGATAACTCTGGCTCTGAGCTGCGTAGTGTGTTCCTTGTTCTTAATGATGCTGTTTGTTCTCTAGTAAACATCTGAGGGTTTCACAGGACAGTTATTTTCATCTGCCTTTAATTCCATATCCTAAAGCTGCATTCACACCAGCCCTGTTTAGTCCCCTTAAATCAAACTTTAGTTCATCCATCTAGAAAGTCCAATTTGTTTGGGAAAGCGATAATGTGTAATCTGGGTTTGTTTGACATGAACTCTGGTGCTGTCCGAATGCATATGTGGTTGCAAAGAGAACCAAAAACTACTCCGAAAGCAATGAGTGATGGGTAGCACAGGGCATTCTGGGAAAATACATCCAATACAAATAAATGTGAAAGTCTTGGATACCATGAAGAAATGGATTGCCATCTTCTAGCTAAGACAAAAAAGAAATTGTATAATTTCTAAAATTTGTCACCACTCCATTTTGTAGACAACTTGTGAAGAAAGAAGTTACACTATGAATCTTCTTCAGAGATGTTTGTGTAATTTTATTCAGTGGTTCTTGGTGCAGTGCCGTCACACGGGAGGTGGAGGGAGCAGGTTTTGAAAAGAGTTTTATTTGTTGTGTAACAGCAAAGCGCACCATTTAAAGAGGTAAAAAAATTTCCAATTTGGGTTTCCAATTGAGCCATACAAGACTGTCAGTTGTCAATTGCAATCAATTGCCTTCATAAGTCATCTAATTTGTGAGTTGAATTGACTCCTGAGAGCAACGGATTGTACTCGGTCTTATTTTTGGGTGTCAGATTACAGAAAAATAAGATTGAGGCAAAATGTGTAAAGGTTTGAAAACTATGAACACTTTTGTATAGCTTATAAATTTTGAAAGCAGGAGTCAGAGATTTAATTAATATCTGCAGCAGATACCATGACATTCCTCAGCAGTCATCTGCTCTTTGACCCCTGGGTTCAGGGCCACGCTCAAGTCTGCTCTGCTAACATGTGTGGGCAGGAGAGAATAAGTGAGTATGACTTTTCCACTCTGGATCAATGTCGGCTGTGAGCCAGACATTTTTACTCCACTCTCACCTACACCTGTTCTAATCTTTCAGCTCATGAGCAAGATCAAAGCATTTATCACATCCTCACTAAAATATAAAGCTCTTTCAACATATTCAGTCAGGAAGAACAGGGACATGAAATTAAGAATCTTGTGAATGTCGACTCTATCCTGATGGAAGGGGAGTGAATTCATATGGCTGATCCAGCAAAATGTATTTCAGAGGTTGTGGAAAGGTTTGCTGTAAAGAAAGAAATGCTGATTGGTATGATTGCAACATGTCACTAATGCATAACCCCGTAGTGTGAAAAGACTTGCATTTAGCCTGTGCAGAATGGTAGTAGTGAATCAGAGGCTGTGAATTAGCTCTGCAGGTGTGCTCGAACACTTTCAGAACATCTCATCATCCTCACTGCCAGGGCAAGACAGTGGTGTGGTTCCTGCTGCAGCACTGATGCCACACACTGAGGCTTAAGATCATTCTGTCTCCTGCACACTCGCTTTCAATAACCTTCCGTTATATCGACCAGTCCGTTTTTTTTTCCTCTTCCTCTCCTTACTTGCTCTCACTTATGCCTCTCCTCATTCACTTGCCCATTGCCTTATTCTCCCACTTTCTATCATTCATTCCTATTGCATCAATAAGGGGCTTCTCCATTGCCTCTTCTATCAGCAAGCTGCTGCAGAGTTGCGCGATTGGTACCCCTTTGTGCTCTTTTTAGTATTTGTATGTCAATTGCAATCAATTGCCTTCATAAGTAATCTAATTTGTGAGTTGAATTGACTCCTGAGAGCAACGGATTGTACTCGGTCTTATTTTTGGGTGTCAGATTACATGACACCCAAAAACATGACTGTTTTTGGGTGTCTAACATGACCCCCCTACCCCCACAGTAAGGGGGGTCATGTTAGAAGTCCAGATCTCCCCCCATCTCATCAGTTTCAGAATGCTTGAGCTAAGACCAGACAGAATAGATTTTTATTTTGAAGTCGCTACTCCCGTTTTTCATTGTATAGCCGCTCTCCTCGTATTCAAGCAATCTGTCAAGTGACAATGACTGGAGCAAGAATGTGTAAACAGGACATTTGCATACAGGAAATTGCTTTATTACAATGTGAATCTCCACAAGCTGTCAGTGAGAGGGAGCCAAAATATGGTTACTTGTCTGCAGAAGGAAGAAACTGAAAAATAGCCTCTGCTGACAATAGTAATCGTGCATACCAGCCACGGCGCACATTGGAAACAGGTAGTTAAACCATGTAGAGTATTGAATTTCGTGCTTTTGACATGCTTACAAATGACCGCGCATTCCGCTTTGCACTGGTATGTTATTTGTGTTCAAGCAGGCTCATTTAATGAGTACTGATACAGGCAAACAAAGGTCTTTTATGTATCACCAGCTCAAGGAGCACCTCATGCAGTCATGAAACCTCTCAAGCACACAAAGACTGATTTACGCAAATAGACAAAAAGGCTTGTGCATAACACCACTATCTTTTACTTGCATTGGACCAATCATTATCCTTTTCCTAGCTCAGTATCGGGGTTTGTAAGCATTGATATGAGGATCTGATAATTACGCTACCTATTCTTGCCTTGTTAAAAGAGCCACCAGTGTTTGTCCTGCTTGAAGAAATGTAATCAGAACCACAACAGTTGCTGCGGTTTTTTAAACAAAAACTAAATAAAACCTTGACTGGATTTACCTTGAAAATAATCCCCCAGTTTGTCATGATACCTACCTGTATTGTTTTGGCATTTTATTTGACAAACATAAAAACACAACATTGTGACATCAAAGGAAAATGAGATATGCTTCTAAAAGTTGTTTTTTAGCAGATAAACCTCTGAAAAGTGTGGCCTAAACTTGTATTCCTTGCTCATGCAGAACCATCCATTCCTGCAATTTCCACTTTCTTTTAAGACATGGCTCCACAGTCTTTCATGTTAAAAAATAGGCTGGTTCATTGACACAAAATGGAAAAAGCTCAATCAAACTACACTGAGAAGCTGTTTCAGCTGTCATGTTTGCTACTGTATTCTCTTTGTGTTACACTTCAGTAATATTTACTACTTTGTTTTTTTCTGTCACATAAAATCACTGATTTTGTTTTTGGTTGTGATTTCACAAAATGCAAAAAAAATTTTAAAAAAAGCCTAAGAGGTGTGTGTACACATGGACTTTGCTGCACACACACTCTTCAGTTAATTTATTTAATCATGTGATTATGCTCTGATTCTGATTGTCGTGTCTGACCACATGCTTGTCTCGGCTCGTGTTATTTGTGAGAATGAAAGCAGCAAGGCAGCAGCGGTTGTAGAGAGTAAAAAGCATGTAGAAATTGATTCTGGGTACACTCCTCTCCTAATATGATCCGGGTGGCTGCCCACAAGCTGGGCTCCATCTCCTCTTCTCCTCAATCAGCCACGGTGCTGACAATATTAACACAGCCCACAGATCTGCAGAGACTGCTGCATTCTCTCCAACTGTTTCTCCGACTTCCCAATTGACATTTATTTACATGGTTCTTAATACACTCTATATCCTTAGCATTTCTACACACACACACACTCACCTAAAAAATATCACGGTTCTCCTACTCCTTTGGAAGAAGTAAAGCTGTGGCATGTGCGTGCTTTTATCACACACATATAATTTGTTGAGGGAGGATATGAAAGGCTAAGGGAACCCTGTGAGGGGTGAAAATGAAGTCTGTGTCGGTTCCACAAAGCTGTTCCTCAGGTTTGGGAAATGAGGAAACCATGGTGTATTAGTGATGTGATTGTGAGAAAGCACAGGCTCAGTTTAGGCAGCATGAGGATTCAGCTTCAGCTCAGTATCAGTGAAAAATAGTCATGTTTGTGCATAAATCAGACATGTAGTGAGTAAGCCCTGCATATTTGCTTATCAACATTTCACTGTTGTGTTGACATGGTTACTTACTCACTAGGCCTGGCTTAGTGAACTGTTTTACATACAGTTCCAGTATGTGTATATATATATATATATATATATATATATATATATATATATATATATATATATATTATATATATATATATATATATATATATATTTATTTATTTATTTATTTGTTTTTTGAAGATAAAAATTTTGCAGCTTTGTGCCACACTATTTTTGTTGAGTATGATTCTGATAAACCTTGACATATTATGACACTTTAATCAACGTATAATCACTCTGGGTGGCGTATCTCAATCAAGACGCCTTTAAAACGATTTTTAATATTCAGCTTTAGTTTACCATAAAAAGATTTGCCAACACTGATGCAATTTTATTTCTGTCAGTCTAAAAGTAACTGTGGTGGAATGATTGATGGAGAAACAGGAAGAAAACGGGGACAAAAGCAAATGTGTCACATACAGTTATTCATGACCAAGGCGCACACATTTCCTGCCTGGACGAGTGTTTGTCTGGCGCTATAATATTTGGCAGTAGTTGAAGTAGCTTCTGTTTCCATTCTTGCACTGTTGTTACTGTATCAGTGGGCCTTTCTTTGTTTCCCCGAGCAGGGTTAGATTAATGCACTGTACCCTTTTATTCAGTGTTATACAAAAGAAAAGCCTGCCGCAGAATCCGCAGGGAGCTCTGATGGTTGCACTTCTACAGAACAGATGACAACAGCCTTTCATCAAAGCAAACACACTCTTTTGCTTGTTACACCACAGTGCAATCATTTTCCAGAGTCAAACCAAGCCGTATATACATATATAATCACAAATTGTGCATACTTCACTCATATGAACTGTACTTCAGAAACACAAGCACGTCAACTGTTGTGGCATGACACAACACACCTTGAGGCATGCTGTGCTGCATAAGATCTGAGTGTAGGAATGCATTTGAGAAAAGAACCAGGACCTACAACTCTCACTCAGCAGTTCCTCCAGAAGCAGATCCCAAAGCCTGTTTATCATCTCATGCAGTGCACCTCAACCTATCCATCCAGAAACACCTTTAACTCACCTTAAAGTCTCTCTCACAGCAGAACTGGAAGGAATCAAAGGGGAAAATCAGTTTTTAAGAGGTACAATTGTCAAGACCAGTCTGCGGTTCTTGTAATTTCAGCATATATAAGGTTTTATGTCACTCATGCTAAGTCTTGCAGAATGAAGTTAATTGAAAATTAATCTCTGTAGAATATGACCCTCTTAAACAACATACCCACATACTCAGTACTTTATCATAATAAGAAACTGATGGGAAATGGAGATGGGTTATTACTGGGTAAATAAACAGTAGAAGTTTTACCGTTCTCACCTCATTTAAAAGACAACTTAAAGACTGGTTCTTCAAAAGCCACAAATGTCTACCTTCGATATTATAATGTAAAAATAGAAATAAATGTAGTGTGTGGATAGTTGTTTGTCCTCTCTTTCTCTGTGTTGCCCTGTGATGAACTGGCAAACTCTTCAGGGTGTACCCCGTCTCTTGCTTGTTGTCTTCTGGAGGTAGGCACCACCACCCATCCCGACCCAATGGGATAATGGTTTAAGAAAATGGGTGGATTAAACTTAAGCTTTTATACATGATTTAAAATCAAGGGGGGCTAAAACTTATGTTTAGTTTGCATTTGAACTATATTTCAACAAATATTTGCAACAATCAACTGTAGGAGAGCGTTATGGGCTTATTGTTTGGAACACAGGAAGTAGACACACAGTGTTGAAATACTGTGTTCTAACAGTGTAATCAATTTATGATGACAGGTTGTATTGTACTTTATAAAACTGCCTCCTTTAACACACACATTTCCCTCCTCTTCCAGACAATGACATCGAGGTTACGGAGGAGCAGCTGAAGGGAGGTGAGTGACAGAATATTTCATGGTTGCCTTTTCACCTTAACACCTCCATTAAAGCAGACAGAGGGTGAGTGAGCGCCGAAGCTTTGGCTTGTGACAGTGATTTGCTGGGTTTTATGCGGCAGACAAAATTGAATGTTTATGCATCTGCTGACAAGCCGAATCCCTGGCCTAACTCATCTTAGTATAAAAATACTTCATGTCAGGTGTGTTACACTACAAGAGCTAATTCCCCGACAACATTCAGTTCATCCGGTTTACGGCCACAATGCCTTTAGACCACCTAGAGCGGTGACAAAGAGACTACAGATTGGCACCCCTCCACAGCATAAGCCAGATGATAGCACAAACATGACTGTCAGTGTATGATGCTTTTATCTCCACCGCATCATGTGGCACGCAGCCCAAAACTCCCAGATGTTGCTTATCGGGATAAACTATTGACATTCATCCATGCACTGATGTCCTGAATAAGCAGCAGGATAAACAAACTACCTCATGGAATTGTGTGTGTTGTTAAACAAAAGATGCAGCATAGTTTAGCTTTGTTGTCACTGCTGAAGAGATTTATTTCTGTGAAAAGCAGTTTCCTGCCTGCAGCAGTTTGCTCTCAAGGGAACATTGCACCTGATGATGTTTTCCCTTATAAAAGAGAAGATCCAAATTTTTCTGCTGCTGATGCTTTAAAAAAAAAAAACTCATCGCACATGTGAACCCAACTAAGAAGAGAACACCATTAGTTTTACTGTCTGTTGGAGAAAGTGGCCACATTACAGTAAATGTAGAGCTCTGGGTGCTGTCAAAATGTTTTTCCTCCCAAAGTCACTCCCATGATTTGCCAATTACACGCATCTGTGTTTTCAAAGGGACTCCATTTTGGGGAAACATAAAAGAGCTATTTTATACGTGCACTGTAAAATGTGATATTTCAAAGTGAAACTGTGCGGACGTAATGGCTGCATCATAAAGATTTGGCTCAAACCAAATGCATTTGAGATTTTTAGCCCAGACAGTCTACATTATTTCTATAGAGCTCCTCACCAGCTGTTTTACACTACATACTCTACAATAACATACCATCAGACCATAAAACACCAGCTGAAACAATTCCTGATAATTCCTAGCTCTCTTGTATTATCATACCATTCCTGTCCTCGTCCAGTTTGGCCTTGTTTGATTTCCCTCTTTGTGGGTGCCAAGAACTGGCCTTTTATTCCACTCCATCAACCAGAGTTTGAATCAGTCAGCTTGGAACCAACTCAAAGCCTCAAATGATTTTTATGCTAACGTGGGATGGTGCTTTTGGCTCACACAGTGGTCTGGAGATGGTCTCAAAGCCTCACATTCTTCCCTCCTCTCCCTCTGGAGATTTCCTTTTTATGTTGTTTTTTTCAGGCAGGTAACAAAGCCACAGAAGAGAGCTGTATGGTCTCCTCAGAGGCATGCCGAACTTAGACAGCCAACACAGAGTGTTCTTTTAGGATGTAATTTTTTTTTCTCCTAAACCTAAATTGAACCCTCATTAATTGATTTACAAATTATTCAAAGTAGTACATGATTGATGTGTCTAACTATAATGTATTAAATTAATGGCTTTGCAATAAATTCTCACATGGTTGCTCATTGTGAGAGATTACTCCAAATCAATTGTGCAGTTGGTTGACCTTCCTTATGCATATAACTTGGTCAGTTGGCATTACATGATGAATTAGATGGCATTATATTACATTTGGACTTTGATTAGACTGTGTGTCATCTAATGGGCGGTATTATGTAGTTGCCAGGCCCCTAGTCCCATTTTATTGCACAGTCAAGTAGCTATGTTACCTTCAGTTGTTATAAAATATCCCCTTTAACATACAGTGAAGAAGTATTTGACACTTTGCAGATTTTTTTGTTTTATATTTACTTTATTCAGATTTCATAACCTGCTTGAGTAAATGTACAACCATTCTACAAATTGTTGTCTCACTTCTTAAAAGGGAAATTTTATGTATTCTCTAAGTACATAAAGCAATTTTATAGTTCAATCAAGTAACTGTTACCATCATTTGTTATAAAAATACTGTATATACCAAACAGAACTTAAAAGAAAATGACTTTTTTTTTGATGAGAGAATAACATTGTAACATGACATAACACACAAAAAAGTCTATTTTGCATCATTCTGTCAGTTTGAAACTGAAAACTAGGCACTTGCTTCTCTTCTTATAAACAAGACTGTGTTTGCAGGGTATTTATTCTGACATTCCCATAGAAATTAAAATGGAATTGATTTTGGACGGCCTTCTAAAGATTTCCATTCTCAACTTTTCCAGCTCGACAACAAAGACGCGTTTTACCTTTGATACTTTTATTCCGCTATGCAGATACATCTCAAACAGCTTGTGGAGGTAACATTTTGAATGATGGAGTCTACAGAGAACACAAAACAATATAGTAAAAGGCTTTGGGTTGAGCTAAGAAATATGTTTATTGTGTATTGTGTTTATTGAGCATTTCAGATATAGAGGTTGTAGGATACGTTTTATTTACTCATGCCAACCCACTTGACAGTTTATATCGACAAGACCTGACAAAAGAGTTGCATTTTGTTGCTTTTTGTGGATAGAGACGCATCATTACCGCATCAGTGAAGCACCAACTCTCATTGTTTATTTACAGACAGCACACCTCCATCAACAAAATCTACAACCAAGGAAGAGGCTGAGGATGCCGAAAAGGGTGAGCATGTTACTAAATCTATATGTCTACCTGCATCTGTCTGTTTTCTACTCCAATTATTTCAATGTTGAGCATGCCAAGCAGCGTTAGTGGTAGTGGGAGCCTCTTACACTGATATGTGTTTACAGAAAAATTTTCCACCATGTCTAAACTAATGGAATGTGTTTTTGCTGGGTAATCTCTTGCTCTCTGATGCCTAGCTCTCCTCTTTGGGGAAATGAATAGAGGATGAAGCTTGGTTCTTTTTTAAAGGAATGTTTTCTTTTGGGCAAACCTGTTTAAGAAGCCATTATCCAGCTATTCTGCAGCTTCAGCCCCTTTGGATGTGTAATGTTGAAACAATTATAGGCTTCTCCAATACGATGGACCAAAGATAATGAGATTCTTACACTGGAGGGCGTTGGTAGGCAATTAAAATCGTACACTATCCATTTGTCTTGAAGCCTTAAGGTTGTGGGAAGTTTTTGAAGATAACAGTCATGCTTGTTTTCTTTGGAGAATCTGTTCCATGCGATCCTCTGGACATGGCAGTTACTTAAAGGGCGACAATACAATTTATGCTGTAAAACAAAGCATAATAAGTCCTTTTCCTCTGCAAGATACCTCCTCTCTAATCCACAAACGTAATTCAGGATGATTCTAAAAATTCAATCACCAGCATTAGAAGGGCATAAGTATTTTGTAATAATCTTTAGAAATCCTAATTTATCGGGCCCCCCAGCTTAATAGTAACTAATCCATTCACAAAGGGCCTTGACGCAGCTTCCCAGCTTGGGAACAGTCAGTCCTTGAGACAACCTCTCTCAGAGGAAGGGAATGAAATGATTTTGTTCTGCCTGCACTGTAAAGGTTAGGTGTGGTTCAATGTAGCACATAGGAGGGATTAATCATAGCAAACGCTCAGATGTCAAGATACCATAGAGCAGAGGAACAGTGAGCTGGAAAAGCACACTGTCAGCTGTGTGAGACGAGCACCCTAAGATGCTTTAGAACAACAGAGAAGGAGCTTCCTCCTTTGAAAACAAATAGCTGTATTTTACTGTCTCCTGTCTGTACTTGGGTTCTGACGAGGTGTCATCGATCTGGGGGGGATTTTATTTAGGTTTTTTATTAGTTTTTATTTTGAAATTAATTTTGCACTGCAACAAAACTGGTACCTGTCAGGATATCTTAGTGGATCCATCACATCCATCATGCTCCTCAAGGGGTAAACTCTTACTTTTTACTGGGTCCCCCATCAAGGTACAGAGGCTTTCTTCATTGTTCCTCTAAGAAGAATTCACTGTTGGTAGACTGAATTATTATAGGGCTTCCCTTTTTCTTCTATTTCATACACAACACGTACAAGTAATTAATTTTTCACTTACAAGCAAAAGCCTTCTGGGTCCCTGTGGACCAAAGGAAGAAAATAGTAATAATAGAAACCCAGGATATTCTAAAATTCATCTACAGCTGTCCAGTCACAGTCCCTTGAATCTGATACAACATCTGTGGAGGGAGATAAAGATTAGGGTGATGACAATGAGGCCTTCCAACCTAAAAGACTTTGAGCTCATCACAAAAGATAAATCACCAAATTAAGTGGCTGCATGCAAAAAGTTGGCTAGCCATTAGAAGAACAGTTTGAATATTTTTCTATTTATTATTGAGAAGCGCATAAAAAACAATTTAACATGACATATTTCTTTAATGAAACATAATCTTTTATTTCAAATATTATGCTAATTTCAAAATTTTAGATTGTTCTGAGAGATGCTTCATTTATATTCATAACTTTTAAACTAAATTTGGCCTTTAACTTCATACTGTGTGTTAATTCCACTTTTTGAACCTAAATTGTATATTATAATTGTATATTATATTATATTATATTATATTATATTATATTATATTATATTATATTATATTATATTATATTATATTATATTATATTATATTATATTATATTGAAGAATATTATCCTTCTTTCCATTATCTTCTGATGATCTGCAGTAGGGTCGTGATCATGTCAACATATTAAGAAAATAATTTAATTCATTTTAAGGGCATAATCATGAGATTTATGTTAATGAGTGGCTGATGAGTGATGAGCGTAAGTAGCTAATAAATGAAACCTCAGGCAATCGGAGGAATTTGAGAAATAGTGTCACAGATCGACAGTGTGCGTGGGGACGAGCTGTGCTGTGATAATCCACATGAAACAGATGCACAGCATGCACACGCTGCAAGTTACATAAATAAAAGTGGGGGGAAGAAAAGGGTGGGCCACCCGCTTAGCCAAGTGCTGGCACAGAGGTCTAAGGTGAAATATAAGCTCTTTGAGAACACCTCACAGTGTCGATTATCTGATATCAAGTTGGAATTAGTGAGATTAGTTGATGTCACAGGGCAAGCCACAGTAAAATCTGAAAACTGAGCCAGAAATCAATGCCTGGCATTGGATGCATACTGAGAATAACCTGAGGGGGAGCGGCGGGGTTGATGGTGAAAGATGGCGCATCTCTGTGCGGGTGTGGACAGATATGTAGATTAATAACACTGTGTGGACTGACAGCCAGCCTCTCTATGGGATGCCATCTTTTACACTGTGGCTGCCTGTCAAACCGTGGCTCACAAACGAACTTGCACACACAGATTTCACATGCTGAAGGTCTCAGAATGATCGCAGTGGGTCATCCCAGAGCTTTTTTGTCCCCGCTTTACATGTCTCATGAATTTTTTAAGGTCTCTCTCCTTTTTTGTCTTTTGCTTCAGTGGATTTAATCAAAGAAACAACAGACAAGGCTATGAGGTGGAACTCAGCCTATCTGATGAGTATGTGCAAAGTGCTGTGAGAAAGTATTAGCCTTCTTACTGTTTTTTATTATTCTGTCAGATAATAAAATATGTTTTAATGTTGTACAGGGATTTATAAAATGCATTTTTCTAATAATTAATTTTATTAAGGACTATTAAAGTACAGCTTTACTGCAATTTTGTAATGATAAACACACTCAGGAAATTTTACTGCTAATTTTACTGCTAAACTAAAATTAAGAAAAACTTAAATAATACCTGTCTAGCCACATGAAGCAGGCTAAAAGATTTCCAAAAGATCTTTTGATCTGCTTAATGGAGAGGTACTGTCGGCAAAATAGATTTTTGTCCACTGTAAATGCAAAAAAATAAATTAAATTACAATAAAAAACATTGAAAAAAATTAAATTATTGCATTTATCAAAGCTAGAAAAGGCAATCCAATTACACTAATGATTTTTTTTTTAATCATCTAAAAAGTATCTGTCTTAACAATATGCAGTAGGATAAAAGATTTCCAAAAGATGTTTTGTCCTTTGGTAAATACAAAATGTAATTTGAAATAAATAAAAAGCCCTGCAAACCCACCTAAAATTAAAATAACTCTTAAATTAAACTTCTTCGTCAGCATGAAGTGTGTGAAAATATAGAAAAAAATGTATGTGTTACTCTGTGTTCCTAAAAATATGTAAAATTTTATGGACAGGATTCAAAAGTAATTTCTAAGACTTTTATTGAACCACAGTAAAAGCCATTGTCTGCCTGTAGAGAAAACATGGAAGAGAGGTGAACCTTTGCTAGGCTAACATATTTAGATCAAAAACACATTAACAAATCATCCAGGAGGTAATGAAAGAAAGTAGAACAGCATCTAAAGCATTGCAGAGCCAAATGCCTCCGTAAATATTTTGGAAAAAGTAAAGAACGTGGAGAGTTCTTAGGCAAAAACCACTGCTCACCAAAAACAACACAAATTTGTCGCATATTTGCTTTGGACCCATCAGCTCATCACCTTAAACTGAAGCACATTTTTGTTATGCAGAAGAGCAATTATCTAAAGCCCACCAGCAACTCCACCTCTAGAGGGCTGGAGGGCTTTAGAAAATCAGCGACCACACACCAAACCAGTCCAGTTTGACTGAAACAAAGCAATTCTTCAAAGAAAGTCGGAAATAATTCCTTCACAGCGATGTAAAAGGTTCATTGCTGATTATTGCAAACTTTTCTTCCTAATAATGTTGCTGCAACAAATTACCAGGTTTGTGAGGCAATTCCTTTTTTACCTTTATAAATGAAATTATCATTAGATTTTTTTTTATGTGCTGTTTGGTTCTTTTTCTCTGAAACGTGAGATAAATAAGCATTGCAGAAGAAGTCTGTAAGGGGAAATACTTTCTTTTACGGCACTGTGTGTGCTTATGGGAATTTAATATTTATTGTTATTTGCTGAATTTAAACACCACTTTGACTTCCTTGAAAGTATCATCATCACTTTCGGTTTACTCAGTGGTCACGCGAGTAGGACACACGAGGTATGTTGCATGTTACGACCTAAATTATTAACATACTTGTAATCCTGTTGGCTTTTATGTTAACATAAATAAATGATTCAGAGTGAGTAAGATTTGTTTCTTTTTTTTTCTTCTCAGAACTACACTCCAGCCTTCTTGTTTTGTATACAAAAGAGCAGCAGAGTGGCTGAAATTGCTTTTTTGTTCCTGCATTTCTCGCAGCGGGTCTCATGGACGTATTGACACTGAAAATGTTGTGCTGAAGCCTTCTCTGTGAAGTATGTCAGAAACTGAATCGCAGCTGTGACAGAATCATATGGTGCGCACTGGTAAAGAAAGCTGTGACAATGCTGCCACCTGCTGTTTGGGGCATTCGGGTTGGCATCATTCTTGGTGTGCAGGTCTAGGGTTTCATTTTGTGAGGAGAGACAGGAGTCTAATTGATCCCAACTTGGAGCCATTATAAATCACATCAACCCAGCAGAGAATCTCCTCTGTTAGGAGTTGTATGCGTGTGTTTGTGTGTATCCACAATCTGTTCCTTTACATCCTCTGTCCCAAATAGAATACTATTGCATTCAATAAGCCAAACACAAATGATCAAATAACATGGAGGAAATTACTTTTGGTACTTTTGTCATATTTGAGATATGGTTAATAAAGATCACTTTAGAAAGTTAAAAAAAATAAATACAATTTTTAACAGAGCAAAGGTTTAGGAAGTTTTTGAGGCTTGGGAAGTATTATTCTGACACAGTGTTTTCTGGTGAAGTACTCTTTTCAGCCCCCTTGTCTGTGGTTTCTTCTCAAAATGCCAGTCATGATTAATACAAAGCGCTGCCATCTGTGTGTCACCGGCGTTCTGCATGATGGACAGAGGTACTTGGGACAAACATGTGGCAGTGGTAGGACTGGCCTTTTCCCCCATTTAATAGAGGTTGGCATTTTTTATTGTTCTGAGTGCATTGCAAAATTGCATAGATATGAAAAAATGGCTTCTTGCTGCAGCTTGTTAAAAAAGCAATTATAGAAGCTGCACAATAGCCATTGTGAAGCATGTTCTCTTATTGGTGTCATGGCTTTCATTTACTCAATTTGTCCCAAATGTCATTGGTTTATGCGTGTACATAAATGGAAAAGTGCAAGAGAAAGCAAAGAGGGACACAGAGGATGAGAGCGATGGATATGATGGCAGATTGATGTCTTATAAAATATATATATGCATATTTTGCCTTTTATGCTGGCATATTATTAGAAGCTGTTTAACATAGGGAGATGGCAATGTGTCTGCTGACTTTAAGAGTGGTGATGATATGCATGTAAACTACGCGACTAAATCCGAATCAAGTGGTATATGGCGAGTCATAAAACGTGTAACAAGATCCATTAACTATACAGCTTTATTTTATTTTTCCAAGGGTGGAGACGTGTCATCATCATGATCATTACTATATCTGCTCTATACTGTTAGGATGCAGCACCATGCAAAAATCTTCATATCCCTTCAACTTTTTTCACATTTTGTCACTTAAAACCAGGCTTCAATGCAAAATAATTTTTCTGTTGCCCATTTTCCATAAAGACCTGACTTATAGATGTAAAAACCAAGTTATCTTGTCAAACGATTTTCTCACCTGAGCTCATCTTACCATGTCATTGGCTTCTTGGAGCTTCTGATTAAGCAACCTCTTTGCACTTGGCACTACTTGAAATCTAGTTGTTTAAATCAAGGTTATGCTAAAAGGTACATCCCAAAACTTCATTTAAAATCCCAGATAAGGGCTAACCCTCAATGCTTTAAATTCTGATTTAGGATGATAAATTCCCAGAAGTCATCCAGATTGAACAATTTCCAGAATTTTTCTACCCCACCCTGCAGGTGTAGTTTACCCTAAAGCATTGAGAAAATCCCCTGGACTGATAAAGCAAACTTTCTTTGTGAAGCACTTTGCAAAACGTGATGTCAGTTCTACTGAAATGAGTCCTTTGCAAAGAGAAGATGAACACTGATGATTAGTGTGACTCGTTGCTTTGTTTTCCTGATATGAATAGCTGGCATTTTTCATATTCATGCTTGTTTGTATGACAGCTCCTTCCCCTTGCTTTCTAGGTGAAGAGGAAGCTCATGACGAAGAGGAGAAGAACGATGGTATGCAGCTCCACGCACCATTAAAACATGTTCTCAATCTCTCTGCTTCACCAATGCCTCTTGATGCCATTTCTCATCAAAAAAAATATTTTTTATTCATTTCTGCTCAGCCTTTCCTTCCTTTTCGACACACAAGAAAAAACTTCTCTTATCACACTTGGTTGGAACACACTTTGGTTGGAACAAAGAAATCACTCAATTATGTATAGCTTTAGAAGTGACATTCTTTCTCTTTTCTTTTTTTTTTTGTCTCTTAATTTATGCATGTCTTTGTGGTTCCATTGCTCTCATACTGCAGTATAAAAGACAAAGCTGTACAAAGAGTTGGAACGAAAAAGGCTTTTTGAGGTGATATGGAAAGTCGAATCATTTCGACTCTCTGCTTCAGTACTGAACCTGAATGTTTCCCCCTTATTTGAATTCCTTCTCTGTTTTTCAGAACCAGAAGATGAAGACATGCCGAGTCAACCCCAAGGTATGGTTTAGTTTGGAGTCCAATCTCCAGGACAAACACTGGCTTTGATTAGATGTGATCATCTTAAGTGTAGATTTCCACCTCACTAACCATCACGTCCCAAAGTGGCATGTTGAACTGCTTCGTATCTCTCGGAAGCTGAAATTCAGGCTTTGGTTTTTCTTTTAAGCTTAAAGTGTAAAGGTATTGCATGGATATTTTTGTTTAAAATAGAGCTATAGCAGTGTGATTATAATGCACATCTTCAAATACATCAATGTGGAGCCCAGATGTTATTTATTGAGCTGTGCGTGTAGATGGTATATAAATGTATCTGTACATTTTCTTTTGGCACATTGGCAGCCATTAACTTTGAGCCAGAACCGTTTCTCTTTTTCGACTATCCTCTGTGCTGCTGGTATATAATTAAGATTCGGCATTTGCATACTGGCAGCGAGCAGCGCCTCATCTCTCTTCTGTTTTTGTTTTATTCAAATCCCATGCCATTGACAGTGATTTGACAGATAGAGCCTCTCTCTGCATGAATTTTGGAGGCATTCTATGAGCAAGTTCTAGCAAATGCTGCCCTGGGATGCAATCCAATATCTAGGATGTGTAATTACCTTCTCATGAGACACAAACAGGGAGTTAAGAGCAAAAAAGACCAGCAGGATAATTTAACAGAAATTGCTCCATACAGTACAGTGCAATACAAAGGTAATAGCTGCTATACCCATAAACTTGTTCAACTTTTTTGTTTCATTGAAACCCAGTTTTTTTGTGTGTTTTTTTTTATTACTTTATGGGATAGAGCAAAAGTCAGTGTTATATTATTACGAACTAATAAAAATCTGAAAAGTTTGATATGTGCATGTATTGTGTGTATAGACATACATTTTTCTTTTTCTTCACATTTTAACATTTTGATCTTGTTTTTTACACTACCACCTATATTACAATAATAAGTGTAAGAATGTTAACTTTTGAAATATCTAATTCAGCATCCAATATTTCTCCAAATTTTGTCTTTTTTTTAGTCTGACAGTCTTTTCCTGTCATCTATCAAACTCCATTTCAGCAAAAAGAGACACCAAAGTGTTACTCTATAAATGTTTCAGAGATTTCTATCAGAAAATGGAGTATGAGGTTATTTTTCTGTCACATATTAAAAACTGTCATGTGACACTCAAATGCACCAGTTAATCATTCAACACTCTCTTCCTGTCATTTGTTTTCTGATTATTTGAAGATGAGGATGACAATTCAACCAAAATGGAGCCAGACCAACAACAGAATGACAATGAACGTGAAAAGAGTGAAGAATTAAGCAAAATGGTCACTGACAACGAGGAAGATGACAATAAAGAGCAAAACACCAGCAAAGAAAAGGAGGATAACAAAGGTATATTTCTAGCAGAAGTTTTGGTACCACTGACCATTTCCTTTCATTTATTTTCTCTACTAACTCAAACAGATGGTTAAACTGTCCTGTGAAGGCTTGTCACAAATTAAACAACATATTTTCTTTGGTTCAATCAGATCAAAAACAACCTGTCCCAGAGAAAGATAATGACCCACCAGATACCAACATGGAAGTAGAAGGTAAGGTCCTTTTTTTTCAATTGAGCTGATCTTTCATAAACTAATTGATAGTTTAAATGAGTCTTTATTTAGGTGATTTTCTTTTCTAAGCTGATCTATTTAATCTCTAAAGAATCAAATAACAATGCTTGGTGGGGTTTTTTAAGTTTGTAAGTTGCACTATTTTTTCATTTCAAATCAGTCTGGATCTATTTCACCTCCCCAAAACACTCCTAGGAGAAAAAAAATATACAAGGTGGCAAATAATTTTTCACTCTGTGACATTTTCCTTTACATGTTTTTTTAACTGCTATTAAAGAATAAATATTTTAATTAATGAAGGTACTTGTATGAGGAAACTGCCTACTTGATTTAGCATTTTATTTCCATGGATATTATTGGTTTTGAGTGCACAATATTAATGCAGCACAGCAGCATGAAGTGTAACATGGGCTAATATTTTTGTTTTTTTAAAGCTGAATCATATTTAATGTCTTCTGACAACAAGTCCCCTGAAAAGTGTTGTGGGTGTAGCAAAATTTGATAGAGGTTACTTGTCTTTGCCACAAGCTCAAACGGTGAGCATTAAAGTTGTCTCAGGTAGTAATTTTATTCCATTACTGTGGAATATTACCAATGATTTTATTCAGGACTGCATCCAACAAAGTAGAAAGGTGAAATTATTGAGAAAGATTTTAAAAAACAGCATATAATTTGGATCAGAAAGGGGCTTTTAATGAATCTCTCCTCTGGCAAGGTTTCTTTGCAGCTGGTGTTTATTTATCCAGATACTTGAAAGTCTGCTTTTGGTATATGAGCATCTCTTTTTAGTGGACGTTTATGTTTCTGACCACACATCCGTCTTTATTTGCCTCCAATTTTTGGTGATTCCTCACTTCTTCAATGATTTCTCCTGAGCATTAAAGGTTTGAATTTTAAACCCCGGCTGCCCATCTTCCATTTTTGCTCTAACACAAAGGTTTGAGTCACTTTCTCACCTCCGTTTCACTTTCCCTTTGACTGACATTCAATTAATTTGTGGAGAGAGCGAGTGCTCCTGATGGAGATGAGATAGCCTTCTCCATCCTCTGTGAAAAGCCAGCAGAATTTATCCTACCCACACTACAGACTTTCCTTCCCTGAAAAGCTCCACTCCAGCCTGTTGACTGTCTTAGCTGAGCCTGCCACTATCTGTCACTGTCTTGCATACCATGGGCTGTGTACTGTTTGGCAGGACTGTCAGGCAGTAAACAGTAGTGTCAGTTCTGATTGGAGGCAGATTGCATTTTGTATAGAAAAGTGGGGGCCTCGACCAGACTTCTGCCTAAACTGTTTCAGATATTAAATCTCATGCAGCCCGATGGAGAACAGCTATTCACAACCAGCTATTCACAAGACAAGACCAACTGATCCCAGAGCCAATACCTTTTATTAAAAATTATAACTGTAATCAGGCTGCCTACACATGACTGTGGAAGTTAAATCTGCCTCACTGAAAGCAGTAATAAAATACCTCACAGTGACGGAAGGAATTAATAGTAAATCAAACAGATCATGACGTTACTGAGATCATTCACTTTATGACTGATGATCATTAAGGACTTAATATTAATTAGTTGTACTTTTGTGCCAACAAAATTATTCTGGATGAAGGATAATGGGCGAACGACTGGGTGTAGATGTTCAGAAAACCCTCACAACAATCCTCCTCCATCCTAAACAATTTCCTTAAAATGGGCAGTTCAAGAGGTTCTGTAAAAGGTGTAAGCAGTTAACATCTTACCTGCTTTAGATAACTCTCTTGATTGTGTACATGTAGCATAAATCCAGATTAGTTGGTCCCAAAGACTGAAACTCTGAGGTGGGCCAAAGACCAAATTGAATTTAGAAGCAGAGTTGATTGAAAACGCAACAGATCCGATGAGAAAATATGCAGTTTAATAGCAGATGTTAAACTTTGTATTGAGGATTCATTTATATTCAGCCAACTCAAAAATATATAAAGTTGCAGTTTGACAAAGCATGAAGAAGGGGTATGTAATCACTAGTGTGTGAAAATCTGACTCATGTCACATGGAGCTATGAGGCGATTACATTTCTTAAATGTCTTTTGTTACGTCTGACAGGCTATGTGGGCACATTGTGGCATTTTATAGACTTCATTATTACTTCATCTTGACAACTGAGTTTCCTGTGTCTTTGTCCTGTATATTTTATACTTAAAAGTAAGTAGAGGCAAGATGCTTCCTCCAGGCAGTGTTTCCAAACAAACTATTGAAACCTTCCCCTAATTGTAGTCATAGACCTTTAAAACATAACTTGGGAATAGAGCCCTGTAGAGATAGACGTTGATGTAAGGGTTGTTTTTGTAATTTTTCTGGAGGATTGCTCAGTTTGACCTCAAGTTAAACCTTCAGTTTTGGGAAATTCAGCAAATGTTGAGAAAAATAGAACATATTTCTTCTCTGTAAAATAATCTTTCTTAGGCTGATAGAGAGCAACATGGTTCTCTGAACTCATTAATGTCAACCTTTTCTGGCTGTGTGCTGAAACAAACCTTGAGCAGATAACTGCCCAAACATGAACCTTTTAACAAGGTCTACACTCTTGCTCTTCATCCCTTTAATTAAGTTCTTTGATTAGCAGATTATTGGAGCTAATTTCAAACTTAATTCCTGTGAAACCAGTGAAGTTGTTTCAGAAGTTTTTTGTTGAGAGATTGTCTTTTATTAGTCAATTAAACTTCTGTATCCCTAGATTTAAAAGCTACTGATTATTAAATAAGTTTATGGCCTAGTTGACAAGCACATTTAAAAAGGATGTACTTTCTTTTCACCTCCAGATTAACATGCTGATAGATCAGATTTCTTTTGCCAAAAATGCATCAGGAGACCATTGCATTCTTTATAATTAGTAATGGTCACAGATTTTAAAATTTTGCTATTTTATGTCATGTTAAAAAAGCACAATATTTAAATAAATAGAAAGAAGCCCTTAGACCAGGGGTGTCCAAACTTTTTGCAAAGGGGGCCAGATTTGGTGTGTTAAAAATATAGGGGGGCCAACCTTGGCGGACGTTCTTTACATATAAGCAATTAATTTAAATACATTTCAGCGAGCTGTTGTGTGTTTCACATTTGCTTTTTTATTTTAATTTCAGCCATCTTAAGCATATGTTTTGGTTCATTTGAAACATACATATCAAAATTCAATTGACATTGAAAATTGAAATTAAATATTCATTTAACTTCACTTTTTTAACACTAACTTTTTTGTAATAGTTGAAGAGAAGTAATTGTACTCTTGGGTGCAAATTACATTTGAAACATTAAAAAAAATCTCAAAATGGGAGTTTAATATTTACAGAATTTTTAAACACAATAACAGAGAAATTGTCATATCAACAAGTGCAGGGCTCATTTAAAATATGACAGTAACTATAAATGTTGATTAGCACACCTCTCTCTCGCTTGGCGACCAGGGACAGGACGCTGCGCACTAGTGAAACGGTGAAAGGTTTGCAATGCTTTGCGATCATCGCTGCTACCTCGTAACCAGCCTTTGTAGCATTCTCGTTTGACTCTCGAGCTTTTGTAAAATATTGCTGCTGTGAGATTAAGCTAGCTTCAAGGTGTTTCAGTTTCTCGCTGCGTTCATTACCTGTGATCTTGTCATGTGCCTCAGCATGTTAGTTTGATAATGTCGCTTCAAAACAGCCACTGTCTCTTTACAAATGAGGCAAACACAGTTGTTATGTATTTCAATGAAGAAATAGTCCAATTTCCACCCATCCTTGAACCGTCGGCCCTCGCTGTCAACTTTCCTCCTTTTGCTAATTGCCGCCATTTTAGAAAATTGGGGGGCCTCACATACTAATTTGCTGTTCCTATTTGAGCCTCTAGATGTCAGCACTTAGAACACGCAAGTAATGTATTACACGCGGGCCAGGCGTTGTTTGATTCTATGACGGAGGCTGCGGGCCGGATGAAAATTGACCACGGGCCGCATTTGGCCCCCGGGCCGGACTTTGGACATGTCTGCCTTAGACCCCACTGAAGCAGCTGGTATTTTGAGTGTCTTAGAAAAGTATTCAAACCCCTTTGAACATTTTTCCTTGACATTTTGTAATGTTATAGCAACAACCATTGATATCTGTTCAGAGAAGGATGGATTTACATTTGGGCTTCATTGAACAATGCTGAAACTTCACTATACTTCAATTTAAATTGTTATTATTCTGATTGCATAGTTAGGATTGTTGTCCTGCTGGAAGGTGAACCTCCACTTCATTTTCTTGTCTTAAACTCCATCCATCTTCTCATGACCTTTGACACTGCTGGTAAAAAGCCTTCTTAACATGCTTGCAAGTGCAAACAACTGGGAAACACCAAAATCATGCAGGTTTTTGACTTCCCTTTGGATCTTTTTAAACAGTGGGATTCTCTTTACCACACCCCATACCTGAGGTGTAGATGTTGCTGCTCCTCCACAGCTAATTAGTGGTCTCCTTGCATGACGTGTGAGCTTTGGGGGACATCCACTGAGATTAAATCACATTCTGTTTTGGTCACTTTCGATTCAATCAAGAGATGTAAAGAGAGTTGACTAAAATACAGTGACTCATTCTCATATATTATGGGTAAAAGTATCTCGCCACCTCTTATAATTGTATTTCCACATCACATTTATCTACCACTTGGTGTTGGTTTTTCACCTAAAATCCAACCCAAAGTAGCTTGGTGGTTGTAACTTCTAATGGGTTCTAAAGTACCTTCCTCACTTTTTGATTTTGCACATTTCTATCCACCATTGTCAGCTCTGTCTGCTGACACTCTGCTTTTTTCACGCAGCTTAGTGTGTATCACAGCTGAATATCTCAGCCCCAGCTCAGTCACGCTAAATAACACAAAGCTAAATAAGACACATTTATGTTTTATTCATTTTCACTGCTATCATCAGTATAATGTGTTAATGTAATAATCTGCTCATTCTCCACACACTCCCTCATATTAAGAAATAAA